AGCTTTTCTGGCTGGTAATTGTTATCTTTCTACTTTCTGTATATGGCATCCCATTGTCTTCTAGCTCTCATGGTTTCTTCTGAGAAATTAGAACTTCATCTAATTGTTTCCTCTTTGTAGGTAACTCTTTGTTTTTCTCATGCTGCTTTTAAAATTCTATTTTTATCTTTTAATTTGGAGAATTTTACTGTTATGTCTTGGTGTTTTTCTTTTTAGTCGAGTCTATTTTGTGTTCTCTGTGCTGCTTGAATGTGGATTTTCCATTCTTCAAAATACCTGGAAAGTTTTCTTCTAGTACTTCCACAAGCTTCTCAGTGATTTCCCTGTCACAGCTGAGTTCTGGAATTCTGATAATACATATGTTATTCCATTTGTGCCGTCCCACATAATTCTAATGTTTTCTTAATTTTCTTTATGTCTCATCTCTGATTTTTCTTCAGTTATATTTCTAGTGAGGCTGTTGTCTTCCAGCTCACTGATTCTCTGTTCCATCTCTTCCATTCTACTTTTTTAATGTACTGGTGTGTGGGGCACGTCTACTATTTTGGTCTTAATTATTCTGGTTTGCATTTTCATGCTTTCCTATTATTTCCAATACTATGTTGGATCACAACAAACTGTGGCTAACTCTGAAAAGAATGCAAATCCCAGAACACATGATTGTGCTTATGCGAAACCTATACTCTGACACACCAAACCCTCATTCCTCAGTCACTGAATCAATCCATCTTATCCAGGTTATTCCTCTCCTGCACTGTCCCTCCACCCTTCCAGACATGATGTCCCTCCCTAAGGACTGTAAACAATGCAATTTCATTTCTTTTTCATTCTGAACTGCTGATTTTATGAACATTACTTTCATAGGAATTGCCTTCTATGTCTATGAACATCAATTATGTATCTAAGTAAAATAAATTAATTGACAATGAATAAAGAAAATAATTTCTCATGATGTTGACTGTTGGCTCAGTTGTGAAGTCTATTGTTTTCTTTATATTGAAGTGTACACCATAGAGAATCATTTAGTCTTTGATATTCATCAGTAAGTCCTTCAATCTTCTTTAGTTGAGGAAGGAAAGTTGTGTCATTTGTATATCAAAGGTTGCTGATGAGTCTTTTTCCAGTGCCTCATTCTCTGTCATATAGTTCAGTGTCTTGACTTTGTACACAGATTAAGTATGGTAAAAGAATACAAACCTGAGGCATATCTGTCATGATATTAACCCATGCTGTATCCCCTTCTACATGAGCACAATTCAGGGATTCAGGATTCCCATATCTTTGAGTTGTGGTGTTGGAAAAGAATAGAGTATCACATGGCCTACCAAAAGAACAAACAAGTCTGTCTTGGTAGAAATGCAACCAGGATGTTCACTTGCTCTAAAGGCAAGGAAGGTGAAACTTGATCTCCCATACTTTTAGCATGTTATCAGGAAGAACCAGTCTTTGGAAAAGAACATCATACTGTGAAGGTGAAAAGTCAAAGAAAGACTCCCCAACTAGGTGAACGAACACAGTGACTAAGAATGGGTTTGAGTACATGAAAGACCATGACAAATTCGCAGGCTAGGACAAAGTTCTCGTCTGTTGTTCATAGGGTAGCTCTGAGATATAGTTAACTTGATGAATGTTATCATTCTTCACAAGGATATTAGTAATTTGTTACTATTGTAGAATTTGTTATTATTATTAGTAATTTAACTCACCAACTCAAATATTTTCTTACTAGGTAATAAAAAAAGAGTTCCTGTGGCCTAATGGTAAAGGCTTACCCAGTCAACACAAAGGTTTGAGGTTCCACCAGGTTATCTATGGGAGGATGGTGTACAATCTGCTCCTGAGTGATTTACTGCCTCTGAAAACCTGCTGGAGGGTCAGCTATGAGTCACTACTAACTCGACAGTACAAGTGAACAACAATAACAAGTTGTAAAAGCAAGTGAATGTATTTCTAGTATTTTTTGTTTTCAACCAAGATCTATTTTATAAGAATCGCAATAACTTTTATTTTATATTCTGTTTTAAATCTGTTTTGAATTTCTGAGAGAGCCAGTAAACATGCTACTACAACTGTCCTTGTAATTGTCTTCAGAAAACTTTTCAATAATTTCTACATTCTGTTGTTGTTGCTATGTGCCATCAAATCACCTGTGAATTACAGCAACCTTCGATACAACAGCTCTGAAATCTGTCCTGTCTGAGTTAGTCTCACTGACTACGACACACCTACCTCCACTGGCCTAGTTACTAAAACAGGTCATCTCATCCAGGGTCTTCCTCTCCACACTGTCCCTTCACTCTTCCAAGCATGATGTCTTTCTCAACGAAAAGGTTCCTCCTGGTCCTGTGTCCAAAGTATGTGAGACACAGCTTCAAAATCCTGGCCTCCAAGGAGAAAGTTGGTTTTACTCTCTCCGAAACAGACCTTTTGTTTTCTTGGTGGTCCATGGTATTTTCAAGACTCTTCTCCAGCGCCACAACTCAAAGGCATCAATTCTTCTGTCATCCTTAATCATTATTCAGCTCTCTGACGCATAGCAAGTGATTTCAAAGACATGGACTGGATCAGATGCACCTTAGTCTCTAGACAGATACTATTGTTTCTCAGTACTCTGGAAAGGTATCTGACAGCAGATTTACCTAATTTAATTTGTCTTTAGCACTTTGTAGAGGTCCTTGATAGCAGATTTTCCTAATACAGCACATCATTTGTTATTTTGGCTGTTGTTACTCTATGGATGTTGAATATAGATACAAATAAATGAAATCATTGACACTTCAAACATTTTTTTTATCTAGCATGATATTGCCTATTGATTCAGTAGTGAGGATTTTTCCCCCTTGTTATTGCAATATAATACAAATTGAAAGTTGTAATCAGCCTTCACTTTCAGTAAACAATGTTATGTCACTTTTATAACACAGATTGTTGATGAATTTTTCTCCAATTCTGATGACCCTTTATTTTCCATATATCCAGTTTCTTGAATAATTTTCTCACCATGTAGCATAAGTATGAAGAAAGGCTATGATTCTGATAAACACATTTCCTGGCTTTAAACCATGGAGTGTCCTTATTCTGTTCAGATAACTGTTTCTTGGTCTATAGATAGGTTTAACATAAGCATAGTTTTCTATAATTTCTGTTCTTCAAGGTTAGCCATAATTTGTTATGATCTATGTCTATATTTGTCATTTTGTAGTTGTGTGCTGTCAAGTCAGACCAACTCATAGCTAACACTCCCGTGGATTTTCAGAGGCTGTAAATCTCAAAGGAGGAGACTGCCTGTCCTCCCTCACAGAAGCTTGTGAATTCAAACTGCAAACCTTTGGGATTTCAGTGCAGCTTCTTAGCACGAGGCAACCATCAGTTATTTTGCTGAAAAAATATTTGCAATGAACATACTGTTGATCTTCCAAAATTCTATCCTTTAATCTTTGCAATCATTTTGATCATGAAGATCATATCTTGCAAGTAACAATCCTCTTTCTTTGTTTCCAACTTTTACTTATGAATCATCAGTAATTATCATTACATATTAATTACACATTTGAGCAATTTATGACTTCAGAAATTGGTTAAAATTCTTCAATTATTTTTGCAATAGTGCTTAGTACAAAAATTTGAATAATAATCATATCAGCTGCTCTTCCTTTTAGAAATGTAGTTTTTTTCCTTTCACTGTTAGCACTGCGATTTAGAATAGATTTTTAAATGTTCTTTTAGATGATGAATGCAATGTCAATCCCTTTATATTTGTCATTCTTAAAATCTTGAAGTCTTTGATCTTCTGTTAGAAAGTGGCTCATATATTATTCAGTTTTCCAATTTAAAATATTCATTTCAGCTCATTAATTCTTAGGATATTGAACTTTATCTATTAACCTTTGATGATTTTGAATTTTCTTTGATTCATACTTCATCTTCCATATTTCAATTTTCGGTGGATGTTTGCCACTGTCTTTTCTCATTGTGAACTGTTCCATGTAAAAAATAAAGGATATTAAGCTTTTGATACCAGATGGGAAGTTGTGCTGTCAACTCAAATGCACCAGCTGTTCCACAGGGAAAAAATCCACTGGTGGATCAGCTATGAGTAAGTTAAATAGTATTGAGTTACATTGTTGAGTTGAAGTCACTTTGAGGAGGAAATTCTCTTTCTCAGTTGTATTTTTAATTCCTTCAACACTGGGGAGCATATCTTTTGTTACATTATATCACATAATATTCCTTTTCTAACCATAAGGTTTTCAGTGCTCAATTACCTATAGATCACAAAATCCTTCTACCTAGTCTGCCTTAGTCTGGAATCTCTTTGAAACCAGCCCATCATGTAGACAGTGTTTGTATATGAAATATTGGTTGCATTGCTTCAAGCATTATAGCAGCATACAAGCAAGAATAATATGACGAATTGGCAACTAGTTGATGGTAGTTCCTTTGTATGGCACTATAAATGTATCTACATCTCTCTATGGAACTCTCTATTGCCCAAATTTATATGAGCATTTAGAAAATTCTGAAACATCATAGAAAGTCCCTACCCCTTGAAAGCATAGCACAAGAATTCCTCAGAGATCCTACTTATGTATTCCAGTTTAGAAAAATTGCATAATATCCATGTATATTTCCTGTAAGGGTTTCTCGAAAGTTGGCAAAGATAAAAAGTCTTCCTTACACTTCCTTCTTTTATCAAATATTTTCCACTAAACTAACCCCTAAAGGCAAGTGGAAATTAATTAGTTACCCTTGGGCCATTTGTATGAAGCTCAAAACACAGTATAATTAAAAATCTTTCAGGGTTAATTTCCACTTTCTCTTAAAAAAGATGATTTAATTCTGTTCTCTAGGCTTTATTATGTTTTTACCTCTAATTCTCAATCATTAGCACGAAGTATGGTATAGTGCTCTGAGGAGAAAAAATACAATTTGGTGGTTTTTGGGGTTTTTTTGTTTGTTGTGTTTTTTTTTTGTTTTTTACAATTTGGTGTTTATGGTAGCATGGTGGCAGAGGAGAATGCTGAGGGCTAGAGAAAGGAAGGAAGAAACAGGTAAAAGTGAAAATCCATGCAAAGATAGCGCCTGGGAGAACGGTTACTAGCCACACAGCTCACACTGGAACGTTTCGGGTAAGGTTTAATGTAAGGTATCACTTACCACCCACTTAGGATCATTGTTTAGGAATTGACTTATTGTTTCACCCTCCATTGGGTTTCAAAGGCTGTAAAATACATAGGAAGAGATTGCTCATCTTTCTCTTGTAAAGGTGCTTCAAAGCATGAGAAAGGCACCGTCTTTGGTTTAGCAGTAATTTGCCTATGGATTGCTCTACCAGAAAGCCCTAGACAAGGTATATTATTGTGTACTGTCAAGTCAAAACCAACACATAGCTGGCCCTCCAGTGGGTTCTCAGAAGCAGTAAATTGCATGGGAGTTGATTGTCCCTCTTTCCCCTCTAAGCAGCTGGTGGATTGCAACCACGCATTTTTGTGCTGGTGTCACGATTCCTTACCAATAAGTCACCATAGAACTCCTTAGTATTATTAAAAAAACAATTCAAAACATTTCCTACATCACACCTTGACTCTTCTCAGGTCCTCAATTGCATTGCAGTCTTTTAACAAATCAAAGCACCTATTATTAGAATGACATCATCTTGAAATATCATTTGCATAAAATTAGACATGATTTTCAGACAAGTATTTAATGATACATATCAAATATGTTCTTGGGGTTGTTATGTGCCATCAAGCTGACCACAACTCACAACTATCCTATGAAAAATGGATCTGAATCCTCACTATCCTGAACCATCCTCGTCATCTCTGATACGCTTGAGCCTATTGTTACAGTCTCTGTGTCAATTCATCCTGTAGAGGGTCTTCCTTTTTTTTTTCTGATTCTCCACCTTTCCAAGCATAATGTACAGGTTCTTCAATAGATGTTCCCAACACAACACACCTTTAGATTTCTTGACTATTTTTATCAGGGATTTGATTGTACATTCATGTGAAATGAAATTATTAACAATGTAAACTGGTATGTTTACTGTGCATGATTTCAACAATTACAAAACAAAATAAAATTAAAATAAAACAAAAGATAAAGATTCTCCACAATTTCACAAAATCCTGGTGACTCAGTATCTGAAAATAAGTGCAGATAGTACTAATTATAATTTTAATGTCAAACTAGTATAGTGATTTTCAAAGAAAGGATCAGCACAATAAGCATGACTGAGGAATTCAACAGAAATGACAATTCTTAAAGCTTCCCCAGAGTGGCTGAGTAAGAAAACTATGCCTTAATAAGTTTTACAGGTAATTCTGTTGCACATTTAAGTTTTGGAACCACCGGTAAATTAGCTAACATTTTTTTCTCATATTTTTAATTGAAATTTTAATGAAAGTTCACAGAGACTTTGCATTTCTATTCATATATTGTTGCACATTTTCGTCCCCGCAAACCACACCCTCCCTAGCTAAGTTTTCTCTTTGAAAAGAAAAAAAAATTATTTCATTGTTATACAATCCCTCCTACCCCACCCCAGTCCACTTTACTATGCAGCTCTTATTCTGGACTCTTGTCATGAAAATAATACCTAATTA